CCCCAAAACCCCAAAACCCCAAAACCCCATAATGATGAATTAGACTATAAACCAAGGAATCAAAACTTAAGGATAAATCAACAAAAATAAAATAATAATCCTGAGTTTATTCATCAATTTCTAGCACATTTTATAATATATTTACCCTGAGAGGCAATCTTTTCTGACTCATCTATGGCTTCTCTCCATTCTTCTAGGGGAATCTCTTTTATAATATTAGTGCTAAAAATTTAACCCTTATTATTCTGTAAATCATCAGCTACTTTTTCAAATAATTATTTCTTCTCCTCATGTTCAAGTGAGTTGAGCCATCTAAAAACAAAGAAAGATTGAATGTACTTGTCATTTTTTATTAAATCAAATGAATCAAAGCTTAGTCTAATCTTTGATAAAATCCCATAAGCTACCATTAAACTTTTTGGAGGCATTTTTGCAAATATATCTCCTGGTATATTACCTCCAATACATTCAAGATCTAGGAAGAAAGTTGAACTTGATTAATTAAGAACATATTTCGCTCCGTAGTTTTCAATTAAATCCTTGACTTACTCCTTCCTTCTCACTATATTCACAGTTTCAATACCCAGCGATCGGCTGAGTCTGATCATTTACTTCGCCATCTAAGAAGAAGCAGCAAGTATGACCACGGCTTTAGCATTGTGTTTCTTAGCAAGATCTATCAATCCTGAACCTGTCAGTGGATTCACAAAAGCATTTGCAAATTTTCTTGGATCCAAGCCAGATTGATCTTAAAATATGATGACTTCATTGATATCTTTGATTGCATATCTCGCCCAACCACCTAATGTAAACGAAACAAATCTCCCTATGAGTCCCTTATCTACTCCATCTCCTATTTATCTGATATAACCATTACCCTCTGTCCCCATTACGAAGCCCTCTTCTTTTTTGGCTCGATACATTATTCTATCGATGGGATTAATTGTGGAATATTGCACTTCAACAAATATTTAACCTTTATCAAGTAAAGGCAACTCCCCATCTACCAATTTAAAGGTTCCACCTTAGTATTAAACGAACTACTATCTAAACTAATTGGAAAATTGAAATTTCATAAGGTCTGTAAAGATTGGCTAAGGATTATTTTATTCTTTAGTTTATCTATTTTGATTTGAGATTTTATTTAACAACAATAATGTAAATTAAATCAATGAATACCACTGTATTTCTTATTTAAGATTAAAAATTCTACTTTTAAGCTAAATATTCTCAGGCTCGGGGTTTTGGGGTTTTGGGGTTTTGGGG